TCGTCTAGATCGTCCCCCCTCAGTTCCCAAGGCTCGGTTTTGAGTCGACTCGATCGTCCCCCCTCAGTTCCCCTTGCTTCTCCCCCCTCTTTGCCAAAGCCAACTACAAGGGCAGTTCGGTCTTCTTCACCATCTCTCCTGCGCACGAGAAGGCGTTCTGCAGCATCGCCCAGTCTAGATTCCCCTCCTCATTGCCCCTCGCTTTCTCCCTTCCCCCCCCTCCCCCCATCACCAACCCCCGCATCCCCCAGCCTGCAGACCAGACCTCCCCCTGGTACCCGATTCCAGTGATGAGCAAAGCGCTGGTAACCGTGCGGGACTACTTCGCCAAAGCGAACTACAAGGGCACAGCGGTTTTCTTCACCTTCTCTCCAGTGCACGAGAAGGCGTTCTGCAACGTTGCTCGACCATTCGACACGAACGTTAACTCGGACAAGACGCTCATGAGCTTCATACTCCCAGCCATGAAGAAACAAGTACGTGCTTGTATCGAGGTAACGAAGAAAGGGCCTTTTCAGGGTGTGCTTGTATCGAAGGTAACTCGATACAAGGACTTACGTTGTACTCAGGTGACAGCGAAGTCTCTCTCCCTCCTTGGTCCACGGAAGGCATTCCGTGGACCATGCAACGGAATGTCGTCGGATGTTAACTCAGACAAGACATTGTCTTGTGCAGCATCACTCGACCATTCGACACGAACGTTAACTCGGAAAAGACACTCATGAGCTTCATACTCCCAGCCATGAAGAAACAGGTATGGAGGGAAGGCCCCAAAGGTTGTTCTGTGTTTGACACAAAAGTCAATCAACTCGGACAAGACGCTCATGAGCTTCATTCGTACTCCCAGCCATGAAGAAACAAGTATAGAGGGAAGGGAGCACGTACTGCTGTGCGTATAATAAGCTGGCTCTCAGTGCAAAGTTCTCGGTGCAAAGTGCTCGGTGTGCGGCGGAGTTGACTCATAGGGACGGAAACGCTCTCCACTTTCAGCGTAGACGTCTTTTGAGGGTCCCTCATGAGCCCTCAACAGCCTTCCTCCGTACCCGAAACCCTCATGAGCTTCATTCATACTACAGCCAGGAAGCAACAGATACGGTGTTGGGTGTTGGGTGTTGGTGTAAGGGGGGATGTTACAGTGATGAGGCGGTCAACAGTGAGGGTGGCTGAGGTCACCCACATGAGCGCCATGAGGCCGGATACCCACCTGGGGTTGACCTGTTCTCCCTTTCGCCCCTTCTATCTCCACCCCTACCCACCAGGTGACAGTGATGAAAAGGTCAACTATGAGGGTGGCAGAGGTCACCTACGTGAGTGCCATGAGGCCCGACGCTGACAGTCTCTGTTTATGCCTCTGCCTCCCGCCCTCCCACCCGCTGCTTGCTCTCGTCCAACCACCAGGTGACAGTGATGAAGCGGTCTACAATGCGCGTGGCAGAGGTCACCTACATGAGCGCCATGAGGCCCGACGCCCACCTGGGGCTGAACGGGCGGGACTGCAGCCACTGGTGCCTGCCGGGAGTGCCTGACGCCTGGTCCGATGTTCTGTACAACATCTTGATGGGAGTGAGGAGGAACTTTACATGAGAAGCTTCAGCTGAGAACGAGGGGGAAAGGTAGGAAGCGGGGCTGCAGCCACTGGTGCCTGCCAGGTGTGCCTGATGCATCGGTACAACATCTTGATGAGGGGTAGGAGGAACTTCACAAGAAGGAAGGGGAGAGGAGGAAAGGGGTGGGAGACTGCACCCACTAGTGCCTGCAGGGTGCACCTAGCACTTGCTCCAGCGGGCTCTATACAACAGAGTCCAGCTTGGAGGTATTCCAGATTGGAACTCTATACACGGAAGCAACAGATAGCAGCAGGCAGTTGTGCTGGTCATGCGAGGGCAGAGCACTGGAGCCGGGTTTCCCAATGATGTCTATATAATGCACAGGTTTATCCTAAGCTTTGAGGTTGGCTGGAAAGCTTGGTGGAATCCATAGTCCGTGATGCATCATTCACAGTGGTTGATAGTACAGTGATTCCGTCTTGTTTCTTTTCTTTCTGGTACATAATAAAGATCCTGCTTGCATGGCTGGTTGGTCTATTCTGGTTGGTATATATGGTAGCTGCTGTTGTGAGGCTGGGAATGTTGCCTCCATTCCAGTGCACCAGATGCTCTTCCCTGCATTGCCTGATGGCCCCCTTTAGTGCACTGCTGCCTGATGGCAGTGTGAAACGGTATGGTGATTACTCATGTCAAGGAGCAGCTAAGACGTTTGACAACCAAAGCTAGCGACACAGGAGTGTGTAATTTGTAAGAAGCAATAAGCATTTGTCTCTGCTCTATACCTCTACAGGGAGGCGAACCTTGAGCTCGTTCATATCCTCCGATGCATGCAAGCTCAAATCGTGCTCGTTCGCCAGGTGGAGCACACAGATAAAGCACAGGTGCACTGAAATGTCACTCAGCGCAGCCGCCTTGCAATCCGCAGGGAAATTGTGGAGCACCCGATCGAAGCTGATCGGGCCGGTGCCAGTGGATCGCTCATCCCGCTCCTTCTCCTCTTTGTAGTAAATCTGGTGGCGTTTCAGCTCCACCCAGATCGTGTCTTTCAGAATCTTCACATCCACCTGCTTTGACTGCCTTGCGTAATTGACGTCAATCTTCTGCGCCTGCTCCAATTGGTGAACATGAGTGTTTGAGATGATTAGAAAAGCAGCGTACAGGGCGTCAGGGTCAGAAGACAAGGGTAGCAGAACCAGTTACAGGACTTGCACCGTCAGCATGGCAATTAGCAAGCAAAAACAAGAGCAGATATCTGGAACGAATGCGAGGACAGTGCTGGCGCAGATTCTCACCTTCTTTGGCATCGGCACCAGATCCTCCATCAAGGCATCTGCTGGCCTGGCCTCTGCTGCATCCGCTTGCCCATCGAAATCATCCCCATAGTCAAACGGATCAGCACATTCGTCTCCTCCCCAGCCATTCCCACACCCATCATCTCCACCACCGAAACCTGCAAACCCTTCCCCATCTGCACCGTTCTCAAAGCCTGCATCACCCCCAAACCTCTGCCTCGCTCCTCCACCCCCTTGGCCCTCCGAGCCAGGAAGCTCCAATCTGGGCTCATGAAAACAGTAGCAAACTTCCTCCCATCGTAGTGATAGTCCTTCGGCAGCAAAGTATTCACCACCTTACGCCCAGCCTAGTCAACTGAATCTCTTTCAACGCCTTGGGAGCCTGGAACAACGACTCGTCAACCTTGGGGTCTGAGTAGTCGATCAGTTCCGCCTTTGCTGCCCTCTTCTTCCTCCCCTTGGGCTCTGGAGCGGCTGCAGGTGCCTCCTCCTTGGACTTAACAAAGTGCCAGTGCTTAGGACCAGCCCATGCGTTGTTCCCTTTGAGCCTCGTCATACCCATCCCAGCAGCCAGCCAATCCGCGGTGTCCATGCCATCATCAACACCAGAAGATTCACTCTCCCCATCAGAATCCCCAGCTGGTACCATCTCCGGAGCACCAGGAAATGAAGCACCACCACCGAACCCACACCCGTCGTCGTTCCACCCATCATCACCACCACCAAAATCGACCACAGAACCGTCGTCATTCTCTTCCCCAGGAGGAAAGGAACCCCCCACCCCACCCACTGGATCGTTCCCTCCATCAAAACCCTTAAAAGCATCTCCGTTCTTGGCAACATTCGCATCGGCGTCATGAGAAGAATCCATGGCACCAACGGCTGCCTTCCAGCGGTGGTCTCAGCGAGGTCGTAGAGAGCAGAGATGGACGGAGTGACCTCCCAGCTCTCGGGGTCATGCATGCCTAGAAGGTGCTCCACTTCGCCTGCCAAGCAGTGTGAGCAAAGAGTGTGATTCAATACCCACGTGAAACGGAATCATCCACTTCACCTGCCAGGGAGCACGACGTCAGTGTGATCCTCTACCCATAACGAAACATGTATGCCTGCGAATCGGAACGCTCTTAGAGGATATCAGCACAGATGTGCCTGCCGCCAGTGGCTGACTTGCCTTGTGTGCCACAGTTCAGTTCAACGGATCATTGGACGAAAGGCGAGAAAGGAATCCAGACGAAATTGATAGGGGATGCTTGTGATCAGTCAAGATCCCGGCTCTTCAGAATCAGCAAGAACAAGTAGTCAAGACGCGTCAACGCCAAACACACGGGCTAAGGGAAATGCAGCACTCACGAGATGCGAAAGAGATGTCCACATACTCCTTCGCCCTCTCCTCTCCTTGCGTGCGTAAAGGGTCCACGACGACAGCTTCCGAATCAAACATGATCTCGCAGCCGTTGAACACGGGGAGATTGTACAGGAGCAATCCACTTGCTCCGCCCCTCATCGAATTGACCCGACGTTTTCGTGAAGAGTGGGTCCGTGACAATTGCACCTGGAGGTCCACATACAAATACTCGGTTAGAACGAAAGAACCTCAGTATAAAAGGAAAGAAAAGAGAAGAAAAGACGAAAAGAAGAGAAGGCAATGCTACACGGCGCAGCCGACTCACGCTCAAGCTTCTTGACATTGATCTGGTCAGGATTATCCTCCAGCGTGCTGGACGTCACAGGCAGCTGCATGCAAAACGGGAGTTTGTTAAGACGGATTGATGAAGGGGAAATGCGAAGCACTGCCATGCGTCTGCCATCCCAATCTCCATCAACCGAACCCCCATGCTTCAACGAGTCAGACCCCTCTCAGTCATTCATGAGTTTGAAACAGACATCAATCGTACCTTCTTCTGTGACTCCCGTCGGCTGCCGCTGCCTTCTCCCTGGTCCGCACCGTCTTCATCATCCCCTGCAAAATTGAAGGGTAAAAGAGGAGTGACAGCAGAGTGACCAGCAGCAGCAGCAGGCTACTGAAGCGACGGAAGGGAAGCGCTGCATGTTTCCTGCTTGGACCTTTCCCAATGGTATTTTGAGTCGACTCAAAATACAACTTTCCCTATGGTCCATTCCACACACCTGTATCGCCTGCTCGCGTCAGACCGCTGAGCACTTTGTACGTCTCGGAATGAATAGAGTCGACTCGGGTCGAGTAGATCTTCACGCCAGCCTCCAGCGTGCAGCTAGCCTGCAATAAAAAATCGCAGTAGAATTATTCAGTAAAGTATCGCATTTCACTGATACCTGGACATCAGATTAGATGCTGCTGAAGATCGGCAACACTAGATGCAATGAAGGCCGCACGATGCGGCCAATCAGCAGATAATCGAACCTTCTGAAAGTTGGTTTCCGTATCCTTCTCGCTGTCGGCCATGACAATCTCCGTCATGTGATCGATAAGGTCGAGATCCCATGTGTTCTTCTGAGTGATTTTCTGCACAGGTTAGACCGCGGTACGCGATGTCAGCATCATATCCTTGCACGCAAGTACGGTTCGTGCTACTAGCATCGGTCGTAACGATGATTGAGCAGCATGACCAACAGGATGCTCATCGCCGATGACTTACATTCTCAGCCGCCAGCCTAGTACAGTTCTGATACAGGCTGAGGAGCGAATCTCCAGACATCTCTTGAGGGTCGCAGCTAGAACGCTTCTTATTCGCTTCTTTCATACGGTCTGCGAATAACCTTCGCTGAGCAGCCTGACGTTCCTCCCTAATCTTCCGCTTCTCCAGCTCGTCATCGTTGGCGCCGAACGGAATAAAGGCGGGAGATTTGGGATAAAGACTAGGGGACTTGAACATAATCGGAGCACCCTCACGGAGTATAGGGGATCGACCTTCCATTTTTGAAAGTGACCAGTTATCCTGCTAAAAAGCGTGAAAAGGAAGTCCCGGCAATCCCTGAACGTCTCTGCTTGAACGTCAAATCAGAACAGAGCACGCTGTACCCCACCAGCCAAACAAACCGAAATCTAGGACGAGATAGGAACAAAGCTCTAGGGCTAGAGCATACGAAAGAAGAGTCCAAGGCTATGCCAAACAGCGAAGGTCATCGTCAAACAGCACTGAGAAAGCAGGTCAGAACACTCGACAACCTGTCAGCAGCTCTTTGTAAGCCTAGGTAACCTCGTGAATAGCCTTGAGAACTCCGTTCCAGGGCAGACTGAGCTACCCAGATTCTGTTCAGAGCGGAAGTTTGGGAGGTAGTAATACCAGACTGTACCACATCGTAACGTACTGAATTAGTTATGCAACGCGCTGCACCATAGGGGGGGCGGGGGGGGGGGGGGACGGAAGAAATGCATGACGACTCGGGGGATTGTAGTGGCTGATCGAGACGCGCAACCTGGCATGGTTGTCAGATGTGGTGGGCGGGAAACTTTGAGCTTGCCGCGTCGATTCAAAATTTCAGCTCGCACAAAAATCGTTACCATCGGAGAATTGTTACTGATCTGAACACTAAGCTTACCGTAAGGAATTAGTAATTCCTTACTGAGGCTTGCTACAGAGCGTACGACTCGAACAGTCCCGAACCAGCGATAGGATTCTAGACCTTTCAGTTCGAGCCTCCTGGGCCTTTCCGGACCTCGGTTCGACACATCGAGGCCCTTCGACACCTTTCCCGAACCTTTAAATCCTACGTCCAGGATCACCCTAGATTTCTTATACATTGTTCTGTCTTTCATTTTATTGTCATTCACTCGTTCACAGTTTCGCCATTGCCCTCCGCGCTACTCGGCAGTTTCATTCATAACACTTACAGTGATTGGCATGATTGCCGCTATTTCGTTTTGGTGGCATCGAACTGGCATTCAACCCATTCTTCACAGTCACTTCGGACCGAAACCCTCGATAAACGCTTACTCCACCTGGCGAGACGTCAGAGGTCCGTTCTGCAGAGGGCGCAGGGCTCGTCTGGCTGCGCGGCAGACCACGCCATGCTCCTCAGCCACTTCTCCTCGAACTACCGCTCCTAGGGCCCATCCACAATACCACGTCAGCAAATCTAGACAACCAGTCTCCAAATTCCGCCACGTGTTTGATTAACTCGACGACACCTCAGAGCCCCATCCCCTACTCCTTGGGATTGTCCATCCAGACCCAGAAGTTCTGAACTAGTCTAGCCTGACTGCTCCTTTCTCCCCTTCCCTTCCCTCCTCTCCCCCCCTCTCAATCACAAATCTCCAGTTTGTCTGGTGCAGGAGCTGCTGCCTCTGGAACCTTTATGCAGCCATAGCCCTCATCTGCAGTCTCTTTTCGCATCTTCCCATCCGTAACGTAGACTGTGCGGGCTTCTGATACCTCGGATTTTCGAAAGCTTGCAAGCTGTTACTGCTTCTCCTGGGGTAGCAAAAAGCTTTTGGTGTCACGTTTTCCTCTTTGCCTGAGGTCTAGGTTTAAACACCGATATGGCGTCCGTCACGAAATTGACGTCGTCAGTCCTCTCGAGCGCGGTTCTCGAGACATTGCCTAAGACCACATGCAATGTAAGGGGTCCTTTCCCCACTCATTACAGATTCCTCCCATATCCTTCCGACTCTGTCGATGCCGTGAAATTCTAACGATCACCATATGTTAATCTGCTAGGGTTCTTGCCAAATCGTCGATTTTGCATCCATTTCTAAACAGCGCCCTAGCTGCCTGTGGTTCGTTCCTCCAGGCTCGCGCTGCGTTTCCAGCAGCGGGATTTCCGCAGGGTCAGCTCCGCCTTCACCAGAAGCGTCTCAGGTATGTCTATAGCGTTATCCAATCCCCTAGACTAAACCATTTTACTTATCTGCTGGTCGGCTCGCTTCGTTGTAATGTGAACAATGCACCCAATACCGTTTAATAAACAACCACAGTGTTTCACCTTGTACCTTTAACTCCTAAAATGTTATCCCCCGTCCCGCAGAGCTTGCTTCCAGAAGAGCCTTGTTCTTCCTGCTTCCAGCAGGGCCTTCCCCCGCGTGAGGGCTGTGAGCGTGGAGGGAGAGACGGTAGTGGAGGAGGCGGTTGAGGCTGTTCCTGAGAGCACTGAGGTGCCTGCCGCGAGCACGGACGCTGCTGCTGAGCAAGCACCGGCTGCTGCTGCTGAGGAGAAGGAGGAGAGGAGGTCGCGGCCTGGGGCTACCAGGAGGAGAAAGGTCACAGTTAACGTCGAGGACCTGCAGACCGGCCAAGTGCTCACCGGGAAAGTTGTGAGTGACTCCGTCAGTTTCGCTGGTGTTTTTTTTTTAAAAAAATTTATGAACGTTTTCCCAGTTCCATGTAGTGTTAAGTTTCCTCGTTTGCTACAGTGGAATCGATAGCTGTTGCTGATCTCCAACAGTTTCGGAGGGTCGGGTCTCGCGCCGTGTCGATCAGGGTTTATCCGAGCGATTTTCACTGGGCGCTGTTTTTCCGTGCTGTTCCCCTTATCCGTGCTCTTCCCCTTGTCCGTGCTCTTCCCCTTGTCCGTGCTCTTCCCCTTGTCCGTGCTCTTCCCCTTATCCGTGATCTTTCCGTTATCCGTGCGAGCAGCGTTCGGTCAAGCCGTACGGGGCTTTCGTCGACATCGGCGCCTTCACCGACGGCCTCGTCCACATCTCCCAGCTCGCGGTAAGTGGTCATTTTGTGTAGTTGAGTTTTGTGTAGCTGATACCTTCGGCCCTCGTTGATGGTCTTTTGTCATCTCGCTTCCCGCCGTATGGTACCCCGGTAAAATGGTTCGAGCACGTCAGTTTATGGGGTTAACGCGCATGCTGACCTTCTTATTCTTTCATCGACGGTCTTGAGTCTCCCATCTCCCGTACGGAACAGTAATTACCACAGCAAGGGATTAAATAGAATTAATGCCTTCGACGTTTCTTCATTTTTTTGCGTGCACCGACTGCTTCATCCTCATCTCCCATCACGCGGTAAGGAGTCACGCGGTAGAGACCGTAACTAGGGCTTCTAGGAACTCTTGTCGCGACGCCTTTAGAAGTTGAATCGTAGAGGTGCAACATCCCCCTCGAGGCTCCGCCCGCCAGCTCCTTGCGCCGCCGTTTCGTTCACTGCCGGCACATTTCGTGGACAATACCGAGGACGAACCTAACCGCCATGACGCGTCGCAATCCGCTCCTCGTGTATTTTTTCGCCCGCTCCTTCCTCTTCAGACGGGTTTGGTAACCACCTTGACGTGTCTGGTAACCGCCTTTTTCCTCTTCAGACGGGTTTGGTAACCACCTTGACGTGTCTGGTAACCGCCTTTTTCCTCTTCAGACGGGCAGGATGTGGTAACGATGTGGTAACCACCTTGACGCGTGTCTGAGAACGCTGTCCCCTTCCTCCCTGTTTCGCTGCAGACGGGTTTCGTCGACAAGGTGAAGGATGTGGTAACCGTCATTACAACCCTCATAGCATCCTCCGTTCCCCTTCTTTCGCACTCCCACTTCGCTGCAGACGGGTTTCGTCGACAAGGTGGAGGATGTGGTAACCGTGGGGCAGGAGGTTACGGTTCGCGTGATGGAGGCCAGCAAGGAGACCGGCCGCATCGCGCTCACCATGCGCGACCCGGAGGCGGAGCGCGTCGCCGCGGAGGAGACGGCGGCGGTGGATGCGGAGCGCAAGGCGGCGCAGCAGCAGCGCAGGTCGGAGCCCCGCCAGTCCGCGGAGGGGCAGGAGGGGGATGCGCGCGAGCGGAAGGTGGCTGGGCGGGGGCGCAGGCAGCAGCGGGAGGATCAGAAGCCGACCCATAACTTCAAGAAGGGGCAGAAGGTTAAGGGCGTGGTCAAGAACCTGACCTCGTACGGCTGCTTCGTGGAGCTCGAAGGGAAGGTGGAGGGGCTCCTCCACGCGTCTGAGATCACCGCCGGTGGTAAGCTCCTGTGGATCTGTCTCACGTATCCCGTACATGCGTGTAGTTATCTTTCGAAAGTCAATGCCATGGGTTGAATTGCAATTAATATCTAGTGTCTTTCCAATGCTCGCTTTCGTCATCATCCCCGTCCCTTTCCCCGTCCTTTTCCTCCTCTCCTCCCTCCCCCCACTTCCCCTCCTATCCCCCCCTTCCTCTCCTCTCCCCCCCCCCCCCCCCCCCGTTCCAGGCGACATGGTGCCAGTAGAGTCGCTGGTGTCGGTGGGTCAGGAGCTCGAGGTTACCATCGCCAAGGTCGAGGTGAGTTTTTCAAGTCGATTCATGCTTTGGTGGTGGAAGGGAAGTGAAGTCACATGTCACATGCCTTCTTTTGGAGGTTGTCGACCGTTTTTCTTCAATTTCGAGCTTTAATACTATGCATGACACAAAAGTTTTAATAGTTGAATGTAGCACTTGATCGCTCTTTGGAGCTGTGTTTTGACCAATGTGCAGATTTATTAATGAAGCGTAAACAGTGAAGGAGATTCCTGACCTTATTTCTCTCTGTGGGGCATTTACATGTGCATTGTCTGCTGTGTGCAGAAGAACCGCATTAGCCTCACGATGAAGGAAGAGGTCGATGTAAGTTTTTATTTGCTACTTCCGCCGTATCCCTGTTGTGTGTCTGTGTCTCGTAGCCATTTTCAACCGTTCATTTTTCGGGGGGTTTACGAACATAACACGCCCTAGTGAAGTGTCAAGAGTTACGTGGCCTGATCACTCCCAAGTTGCGCCTCATTCACGCCCTAAGCACGCCCGAATCACGACTTCTTCACGCCCCTGTTTGAGTCAACCCCCCCAACAGGCGCTTCCTCTTGCATCTGCTCTTCATTTGCAATACCTCCGATGCCCTCGCCCTCCCTCCCGTCTCCCCCCTTATCCCCGCATCCCCGCATTATCCCCCTGTCCTCCCCCCAGGTGATCAGCCCCCAGGACGAGGATCTCCGCGCGCTCAACCCCTTTGAGGGCCCACCTGGCCCTTAGGTTCTCTCCTCTTCATCCTCTCACATCCCTTCCTCGGATGGTCCCCTCCCCTCCCCCCTTTCAGGTGACTCTCTTCAACGAGACCAGCCCCCAGGACGAGGATCTCCGCGCGCTCAACCCCTTCGAGGCGGCTTTCCGCCGCGCCAACCTCGTCACTGAGGCCCCCCGCCGCTCCGCCGCTGCTGCTGCTGAGGCCGAGGAGGAGCTCCTGGTGGTAGAGAAGAAGGAGACAGTGGAGGCAGTGGAGGAAGTGGAGGCAGTGGCGGCAGTGACGGCAGAGGCGGCAGTGGAAGCAGCAGAAGAGGAGGAGGCGGAGAAGGCAGAGGAGAAGGTAGAGGATGAAGCAGCTCCAGCACCTGCTGAGGCCGAGCCTGTTGCTGCCGAAGCTGCTGTTGCCGAGCCTGCTGCTGCCGAGCCTGTTGTTGCCGAAGCTGCTGTTTCAGCTGAGGTTGTCGCTGAGGCTGCCCCTGCTCCTGAGGCTGCTCCTGCTCCTGAGGCTGCTCCTGCTCCTGCCGCCACCCCTGCAGCAGGTAGCAGTGAGTAGCTTAGAAGTGGGAGGGAGGGGGGTGGGGGGGAAGGGGAGGATAGGGGAGGGGTTTGGCTGTTTGCTGGGAGCGTTGAGCTACGTGCGTTTGGGTAGTGGGCGGGGGTTTAGGACACAGGAAGCAATGGCTTAGAGATGGAGGGATGCTTTTTAGGTTCTGTGTTGAAGGCTTCCTGCCTGCTGTTAAACCCTGTTGTGTAACCTTGTACCCTGGTAATGCAACAACTTTTTTTTTATTTTCCTACAATGCATCGGATCTCTCTTGCATCCATCTCAGCCCGTCTCCTCCCTTGTGCTGCATGCCGAATTCCCTCCCATGCCCTTGACCCGCATCTCCTACCAGCCTTTCTCTCGTGCCTCTCCTTCTCAGCCTCCTATGTCCCATATTCCCACCTCCTGCGATCGATTCAAGGCATTGATAGCTTCCAAGAACCCTGCCGTCCTTTTCCCCCCACCAGCCGCCCATACCCCCCCCTAAACAGCCGCCCATACCCCCCCTAATCAGCCGCCCATACCCCCCCTAACCAGCCGCCCATACCCCCCCTAATCAGCCGCCCATACCCCCCCTAACCAGCCGCCCATACCCCCCCTAATCAGCCGCCCATACCCCCTCAATCAGCCGCCCATAGCCCCCTTACCAGTCGCCCTCCCCCTCAACCAGCCGCCAGACACCCCCAACCAGGTGCACATACCCTCAGCTAGTTACCCCAAACAGCCCAAACTCTTACTCTGTCATTTCCCACATAGCCCTCTCCCCCCACACTAACACCCCCCCACCCCCACCCACCTCCCCTCCCCGCCACCACCACCACAACCAGCGGACCTGTACCCCCCAAATCAGCCACCTGCCTCTCCTCCCTGACAGGCCCTGGTGTACATTGTACAGTGCACTAATGCACACAATTCCTTCCTACCTATTGTCATCATATTGTTGTCTTCCCTTCTCTTTTCTCTCGTATGCCCATGGATGGACCACCTTTGCGCAACCCTCGCCATCTTCAGATTGACTGGGCATGGGGTTTCGTGGTCCTTACCATCCTTGCCTTATATCCCGTCCCCTCTCAATGCAGGCATCTCTGCCGCAGTGGTTAAGCAGCTGAGGGAGGAGACCGGTGCGGGCATGATGGCATGCAAGAAGGCCCTTACCGACGCCAACGGCGACCTCGACACTGCCCGCGAGATCCTCCGCAAGAAGGGGCTGGCCAGCGCCGACAAGAAGGCGTCGCGCATCGCATCCGAGGGGCTCGTGAGCAGCTACGTGCACTCGGACCGCATCGGCGTGCTCATTGAAGTCAACTGCGAGACGGACTTTGTCGCCCGGGGGAGCGCTTTCCAGGAGCTGGTGGAGGATTTGGGTATGCAGGTGGCGGCGTGTCCCCAGGTGGAGGTGGTGTCTGTGGAGGATGTGCCGGCCGAGCAGGTGGCCAAGGAGAGGGAGGTGGAGCTGGGGAAGGAGGATCTGGCGAGCAAGCCCGAGGCGGTGCGGGGGAAGATTGTGGATGGGCGGATGGCCAAGCGCCTGAATGAGCTGGCCCTGCTAGAGCAGCCGTATATTAAGAATGACAAGGTGCTGGTGAAGGATGTTGTCAAGCAGGCCATTGCTTCTCTGGGGGAGAACATCCGCATTCGCCGCTTCATTAGGTTTAACCTCGGGGAGGGGATCGAGAAGAAATCCGCTGATTTTGCTGCGGAGGTCGCGGCAGCAAGCCAGGTTCAGGCGCCCGCCGCCCCTGCTGTCGCTGCTGCTCCGGCCGAAGCTGCTCCCGAGCCTGCAGCCGATAAGCCCAAGGTCGCGGTGTCGATGGCGGCTGTGAAGCAGCTCAGGGACGCGACCGGCGCTGGCATGATGGACTGCAAGAAAGCCCTGGAGTCCACCGGGGGAGACGTTGACTCGGCCCGGGAGCTGCTCCGCAAGAAGGGCCTGGCCAGCGCGGACAAGAAGGCGTCGCGCATCGCAGCAGAAGGCATTGTGGGGAGCTACATCCACGACGGGCGCATCGGCGCGCTGATCGAGATCAACTGCGAGACAGACTTCGTCGCCCGCGGGGAGAAGTTCCGGGAGCTGGTGGACGACCTGGCGATGCAGGTCGTGGCGTGCCCGGGGGTGCAGGTTGTGAGTGAGGAGGATGTTGACCCCGCCTGGCTTGCTAAGGAGCGGGAGATCGAAATGGGGAAGGAGGATCTGGCTTCCAAGCCCGAGGCGGTGAGGGGGAAGGTTGTGGACGGGCGGCTGGCGAAGCGCGTCTCGGAGCTGGCGCTGCTCGAACAGCCATTTATCAAGAACGACAAGGTGACTGTGAAGGAGGTGGTGAAGGAGGTTGTGGCGGCGCTGGGGGAGAATATCCGTGTGAGACGGTTCGAGAGGTTCACTCTGGGAGAGGGGATTGAGAAGAAGGTGTCAGATTTCGCTGCGGAGGTGGCCGCTGCTGCGGGGCAAGCGTAAGCGATTGCTGGCGCTGCGTTCCTAAAGAGGGCACCTGAGGGCATCTAGTGTTGCACTGCCTTCCTTCCTATCGTGCCGTGCCGTACCTTCCTGTAGTCTTGAACCTGTAGCATGAGGGGTTTTGCAACAAAACAAGCGCTATCTGTCCTGTCCCTCCCTTGCTCTTCCAACTTGGTTCTCTGCTGCTTGCGTGTCTTGCACTTGTTCGTTATTACTCTGACAAAAGCAGTTTCACTAGTATAGTGCAGACTTGTGTTCATCAAACAGATATACGCTGCCCATGAATGAACCACCGTGTAGTTGTAGTTGAAGCACAAGGTACCTCTTTGCATTCCATTCTGTGGGTGTATGTGGTGTTGAAGGCGAATACTAGCATTGCTGGATGGAGCAAATCTGTCTTCAGTGTGCTTCTAGAACCTACATGTCTGTTCGTAGCGAGTCCGCCTGCATCGCGGATCTGGGTTGGCTCCCTGGTGCTTCGAACACATCCCAGGCGCGGTGCCTAGATAATTCGCCTGGTCAGCTTGTCTCCATCGACGAAGTTGCTCTTATCGACGAGAATCTTATCCTCGCTAGATCCTCCCTGTACGCTCTTCCGTGGTGTACTGCCGCGTCACCGAGTTACCTGAGTAGGCCGCACCGCATGTGGTAGAGCCTGTTTTGAAAAGTGGCTTACACCGCTGATCTGGAAGAGTATTTTTTAGGCGCCTCAAAGGTAGACCACATGTGGGAGCGGCTTTACCGCTGATCTGGAAGACTCGGAGGTCAGCTGGCGAGAAACAGGAGCGGAGACGAAGGGTGGCTCGGGAGTCGGGACCTTCCCTGTAGAATACGCTTTGAGTGGATCTAGGTGTATTTTGAGTCGACTCAAAACACGCCCAGGGGTCAGCTCGCGAGAAACAGGAGCAGAAGCGAAGGGTGGCTCGGGACCTTTCCTGTAGAATACGCTTCCAGTGGATCTAGGAGACCTCGGCAAGTTAGTCGGCCGGTTACTTGGAAGTTAGTCGCTCTAGGAGAACTTGGCAAGTTAGCCGGCAGGTTAGTCGGCCGGCGATGGCCGATCCACAGGGCGGCAGCACGTCTGGCCGGCTGAAGCTGTTCACGCGACGGCCGAAGAAGTCACGAGAAGCGGCAGGAGGTGAGGCGCAGAGTAGGCGAGTAGGGTCGAATAAGGTGAGGAGGGGTGAGGAGGGGTTAGTTGGCTTGCGATGGCAGATTCGCAGGGCGGCAAGCTGAAGCTGTTCGCCTACAACTAGAAGCGTGAGTTGGTTCTTGAGAATTCTCAAAACCAACTTAACTGTTTGTCCGGCCTCCCTCCCCCCTGGCCTGCTGGAACCCCCCACGGATCGTCGTTGTCCGCTCCTCTCCCCCTCTTGCCCTATCCCCTCTCCCCCTCATCGTCGCTCCTCTCCCCCTCATCGTCGCTCCTCTCCCCCTCTTGCCCTATCATCATTTAAACCCCTCTTTTTCCCGTCTCCCCCTCCTTCCGATTCCTCTCTCCGCTGCTCCAGGCGGACTCCCCAAGCAGCCCCCCCCCACAGTCCGCTCCTCGCAGCCTTCTGTCCCTGATTCCACAACACCTCCCTTTACTCCTCTCCCTTTACTCCTCTCCCTTTACTCCTCTCCCTTTACTCCCCTCTTTCTCCCCTCCTCTTCTACTCTCCCCCTGCTGCTCCAGGCGGACTCCCCCAGCAGCCCCCCCCACAGTCCGCTCCTCGGGGCCTGTTGTCCCTCTTCAACTTCCCTGCAGCGCCACCAGCCGGCCTTCCCCCTGGGTCTTCAGGGATCCCCCACGGGTCGTCAGTGGCGGCTCCTCGCCCTCCTTTTCTCTATCGCATGCGAGGCGCCTTTGGGTTTCTTCTCGCACTCAACCTAGTGCTGGGAGGTACGTGCCAGGCCTCCCCTCCCCCAGTCCCTCCCTCCCTCCCTCCCTTCTGTTGCTTTCCCCCCCACTTCTACTCCCCCCACGTGCTGGGAGGTACGTGCTGGGAGGTACGTGCTGGGAGGTACGTGCTGTTTATCGTACTGGGAGGCATGTACCTCCCCCCGCCCTTTTATCGTACTGTTTCCCTCTGCTATATCCCCCTCCTACGCCACCAGGCTACATGTTGTTTCGGGGAAAGGCCCTACTGAAGGACGCAGCACGAATGCCGGACACAGCTGATCCTGACGACGAGAAACGGCGCGGGAAAGCCTCAACCGGAGAGCCTAAAAGGGACGAAGCACCTAACTCCGCAGAAACGCCAGCTGCTGCTGCTGCTGCCGCTGCTGCTGCTGCTGGCACTGCCGGTAGTGCTACTGCTGCTCCTGCTACTGCTGAAAGTGCTGGAGAAGCTTCCCATGCAGCTTCCTCTTCCAGCCCTCACAGGACGACGTCTGAGATGCAGTCATGGGACATGGAGGCGATGGTCGGGCCGGCAGGTGTGACTATAACGGGGGAAGGTGCTGCTGATGGTGCTGCAGGGGAAGGGCCTGGGGTGTCTGGGTTGGCTTATACGGGCGGGCAGGTGTCGAAAATTGATCTCGATGGGCAGCTGGAAGTTTTGAAGTGGATTTTGGAGGCGAAGAGGCGGGAGCAGCATGGGGCGAGCCGGGAGGAGAGGAGGAGGATAGACGAGCAGAAGAGGTTGCTGAAGGACTATATCAAAGCCAAGAAGCACTTGCCACTCAAAGATTTGTGAGGATTCTATGGTAGCAGTAGGTAGGCACAAAGTAGGAGAAGGAAGGACTAAATCAAAGCCAAGAAGCATTTGCCGCTCAAAGATTCGTAAGAAAGGGTTCTATAACAGCGATAGGTACGCACTGCAGGCTGTTTTGGGGGCATCTGAATGAAATATACCTATGTTCTAGCCAGGCCCTCAGAAGTCAGTCTCAAAGCTAGAATTGAATCATGATAGAGTTAGAGAGTACATGCACATATACCTAAATGTTGTACCCTCTAGCTAGGAGGTTACCCTATACAGTCTATACAAACATGATCAATAAACATGTTTGACACACCCCCTGGACTGCATAGGGGAATGTCCTAAACAAGCAGCTCAGGGCGGCACTACTAGTCCAGCCTCTGAGCAGGGCCCAAAATTGGTTTTAGGCCACTCTTTGAGATCAGAGTAGGAAAAAAAAAATGCCCTGACGGTCAGAGCTAAAAAAATTCGAAGTCTGATTTGGCAGGGTAAAAAAATTCGAAGTCTTTGCTTCAAGTGTAGAACTCTTTGCACCCTTTCTAGCCTTGGCCATTTAAGGAACATTTTACATGAATGAAGTGGGCTGCACTGAGGTGTGGAAAGAAGGGTGTAGCGGATTTGCGCGTGCTGGGGGAGATTGGGGGATGGGATGGGACGGAAAACGATTCTGGGGCGCGAGAGGGGAATCAGATTTACATGGGCGGCAGAGGGGCGGGAAAAAAACCATCTGCTCGTGATTGGTTGGGTGTCAGAAGGGCGTATACGACGTGACGTGTCTTGCTGTGGTGTGGAGGACTTAGCGAAAAAAAAAAAAAAGTAGCGGGGGTGTGGTTGGGAGGCATGTCTCTTGTGGGGGACTTAGCCATTTCTGGGTTGCGAGGGGGTGAGGGAGCTATGACTCTGGCTACGACTTAGCCGAAATTGCTGGCTTGCATGGTGCGTGGGGTGGGAGGAATGACTCTGGCTGCCAGGGACTTCGTCGAAATTTTTGGTTGCAGGGTGTTTTGGGGGAAATGTTTCTGGCCGCCAAGGACTTAGTCGGAATCTCGGAGTTTCGATACCAGGGTAGTTTTCAGGACGCCCTGAAGGGTCAGGGTTCGGGGCCCCGCAACCCTAGTTTCGGCAGGGTAATATTTTCGTAACACTTTTTGGATCAGGGTAATAAATTTCGTAAGTCTGATTTTTAAGACCAAATGAAAAAATGCCCTGAAAAATCAGGGCAATCAGGGCATTTTACCCGGCTAATTTGAGCCCTGCCTCTGAGACAAGGGTCTAAAAGACCAGTCAGAAGGAGTACAGACAAGACAAGAACAAGTGCAGGGCGGCACTACTAGTCCAACCACTGTGAGAGGACACAAGTCCAGTCTGAGTGTACACATATATATAGGACAGTACAAAGTCAAGGCCCGAGTAAGTGAGGGACTACAGGAACCAGACCAAGCTGTACACAGTGCCGCTGATGATCTTTAGGCGCAAGCGCCTTCGTAAAGATATCAGCTGTGTTGGCACCGGAGGCCAAGTGTACTACGCGAGCCTGGCGACGCTGCTGGAGCTCGCGCAGGAGGAAGTACCGCAGCTGGATGTGCTTCGCTCTACCCTCGAGTCGAGGCTCCTGACACAGGAGGATCATGGCCCTGTTGTCAGCGTACAAGACCGGGGCAGAGCTAGGCCGCTCACCTAAGTCAGTGAGCAAGAAGGTCAGCCAGCGGAGCTCCTGTGCCGCCATGGCACCGGCGTAGATCTCAGCCTCACAGCTGGACTGGGCAACAGACGAGGAGCGGGTAGCTCTCCACGAGACAGCACCTGAGCCAAGGCTAAAGCAGTAGCCCTGGGAAGACCTGAGCGTCTCGACGTCGTCTGCCCAAGAAGCGTCTGTGTGTCCAGTAAGGACCACTGGCCTGCGTCCGCCTAGCACTAACCCCATGCCCGATGTACTTGCAAGATAACGCAAAACCCTCTTAGCGGCAGACCAGTGCTGAGGTCGGTGCCTGCCTGTGGCCACGAAACGAGCCAGGATGCTGAGAGGGTATGCGAGATCTGGGCGAGTGCAAGTCATCAGGTACATGAGGCAACCCACTAGCTCAGCGTAAGGACCACTGGGATCTACCGACTCCTCAGGAACTGGAGCGGAGAGTCTGTGGTCCAGAGGAAGAGGGGTGGGCTGTGCGGAGGAGAACTGAAGGCCGAACCTCTGAAGGACCTGGCGCACCAAGTGTGACTGAGTCAGGGTGATGGTGCGCGCGGCTCTGTCCCTGGAGATCTGCAAGCCAAGGTAACGGCGCAGCTCTCCAAGGTCAGTGCAGGTGTGTCTCTTCAGCAGCTCTGCCTTTACGGAGGCCAGTGCGTCCCTGTCAGCTGTGGCAAAGACCAGGTCGTCTACGTAGACAAGGATGTAGAACGGAGTCGGGCCAGCACGAACGAAGAGCGAGGGGTCTGCAGAGGACGGAAAGAACTGCAGGTCAGCAAGGGTAGCACGCAGCGTGTCGTGCCACTCACGAGGCGCCTGGCGCAGGCCGTAGACTGGACGCCGCAGAAGCCACTGGGTCCCAGGAGGGAAAGTGCCAGTAAAGCCCTGAGGACGACGCAGGTAGACCTGCTCGTGAAGGCTGCCCTGAAGGAAGGCAGTGGAGAAGTCGAGGGAGTGAAGCTCGTAGTCACGCTGAGCCGCTACGTGTAACAGAACCCGAAGAGTAGTCATCTTCGGCGTAGGAGCGAAAGTCTGAAAGAAGTCCACCCCCTCGCGCTGACTGAAGCCTCTAGCCACGTAGCGCGCCTTGAACACAGGCGGCTCTCCAGGAGGGCGCTTCACCTTGAAGAGCCAACGGCCATCGACCACGTTCACCCCAGGTGGGGGAACTGCGTCGACGAAGGTGCCGGTGGATCTCCAAGATACCATCTCCTGTTCCATGGCAGCTATCCACTGAGAGGCCCAGGGTCCCGAAACCGCCTCAGCGTAAGTACGAGGGGTCGGGATGTCGAAAGCGTCTGGGTCACCCTCAGGGACTAGCAGCATGGAACAGAGATGGGGAGCAGCCTCGGACAGGAAAGCAAGCTCAAACTGGCGGTCCTCCAGGACATCACTGCCGAGGGCAGGAGCACCCCCGACAGACGGAGGACAGGCAGGGTCGGAGACCAGAGCGGTAGCGTAGTCAAGGCGGCGGGTAGAGGCGAAGTCAGCGACCGCAGCGACAAGGGCGTCAAGACTCGACACTGGAACAGACGGGTCTGTAACCAGAGAGGCAAGGACCCGAGGAACAAGAGGACGAGCGGCACGAAAGTAGTCAGACAGAGGAGGAGACGCAACGACAAGAGAGGACGGAGGAGGAGACGGGAGGAGGGGAGGACGAGACACGTGGGACCGGAGCAATATAGGGTGAGAGCGCGGGACGGGGGAGACAGGACGAGCACGAGAGGGGCGGCGAGACCAGACGTGAGAGGGAGGCGTCGGGTCAGGAGACAGAGGAGGGGACACTGGTGGGGAACGAGGGGGAAAACGAGCCGGGGACGAGTCCGGCGGAGGGAACACGGGGCCGTAGACGGGAAGAGGAGGAGACGGCAGGTGAGGAACAGGCGCAGGGTCAGGGGAGTGCAGGAGGGTGCAAAGCGGTGCGGGGAACGGGGGACAGTACCAGGAAGTATGTAGGGCCGGGGCAGGCGCGACGGGACCGGGCAGGCGCGACGGGGTCGGGCAGGCGCGACGGGGCCGGGCAGGCGCGACGAGGGGCCAGGCAGACGCGACGGGGCCGGGCGGCTGCGACGGGGCCGTGCGGCTGCGACGGGGCCGGGCGGCTGCGACGGGGCCGGGCGGCTGCGAGGGGGCCGGGCGGGCGTGACGGGGCCGGGCGGGTGCGACAGGGGCCGGGCGGCTGCGACAGGGGCCGGGCGGGCGCCACGGGGCCGAGCGGCTGCGACGGGGCCGAGCTGGGGCGACGGGGCCGAGCAGGTGTGACGGGGCCCAGGAGGGGCGCGACGGGGCCCAGGAGGGGCACTACAGGGCCCTGGAGGGGCGCGACGGGGCCCAGGAGGGGCGCTACGGGGCCCAGGGAGGAGCGCGGCAGGGCCCAGGAGGGGCGCTAAGGGGGGGGGGGGGGGGGGGGGGGCCAGGAGGGGCGCGACGGGGGCCCAGGGAGGGGCGCGACGGGGGCCCAGGGAGGGGCGCGACGGGGGCCCAGGGAGGGGCGCGACGGGGGCCTGGGAGGGGCGCGACCGAGCCCAGGAGGGGCGCGATAAAGCCCAGAAAGGGGCACTACGAAGCCCTGGAAGGGGCGCGACGGGGCCTGGGAGGAGCGCGACGGGGCCTGGAAGGAGCGCGACGGGGCCTGAGAGGAGCACGACAGGGCCCAGGAGGGGCGCTAAGGGGCCCAGGAGGGGCGCGACGGGGCCCTGGAGGGGCGCTACAGAGCCCAGGAGGGGCGCGACGGGGGCCTGGAGGGGCGCTACGACGACCTGGAAGGGGCGCGACGAGGCCTGAGAGGAGCACAACGGGGCTCAGGAGGGGCGAGGCGAGGCTAGGAGACGCGACGGGAGGAGCGGAAGCGGTAGGTGGGGGGGGGGGGGGGGGGGGGGGGGTCGAAACCTACGCGTGATACCATCTCAAAGCTAGAATTGAATAATGATAGAGTTAGAGAGTACATGCACATATACCTAAATGTTGTACCCTCTAGGAGGTTACCATATACAGTCTATACAAACATGATCAATAAACATGTTTGACAGTCAGGTCAGGCCAATAAGGCCTGAAAGCCTGTATATCAGGATGTTTTTCAGGGCATACCCTGTATTGGGCTGAGAAAAGCCCTTAGGATCTTTCCAGAGACCAAGTCCCACTTGTACAAGATCAGGGCTCAAAATTGGTTTAGAGGCACCCTTGGGAATCAGGGTACCGCAACAGAAATACCCTGTCTCCTAGGGTGGAATTTTCAGCACCCTTTGAAAATCAGGGTGAATTCGTAAAAACTAGTCAATACCCTGTTTGAGTCAGGGTACTAATGCCATCACCCTGTCCACTGCGCGGTTAACAGCTACTACAATTTCAACTTCTTACTAGCAAGCATACAAGCAGGATCACTACAGCAAAGAATCAATAGCCTCTCCTACTTCAGCTACTTCCGTCAGCATTGCACCACTGCAGAGATACAGCAACAGCGGTGAGGGCAGTAACAGCTACAGTGTTCCTTCCTTCCGCGG